AAGTGGTGGCTTATAACCCATATCTCTGTCTGGCGATATTTTGGTTTTCAGCCTGATAGTTACCAAGCCAAGTTCTCAGGATATAAAAGAAGAAAAGCAGAAAGGCAGTAGCTTTCCTTGGGAGAGCAGTGGCCATAGACTTGAAAAGGAAGGAACAATGTGAAGTTTCATTTCTTTGTCTTGGCATAACTGACTCCATTTTGGGCCTGTTGTTTCTTTTTTAATGGTGAAGTTGTGGTTCTTTGGTAGAGGGGTGGCAATCAGGGAGACTTGTCTGGATTTCGAGCAGGAAAATGAAGCTGTCAATTACATCCTGTGAAAGATTGCTCTACTTTGCTATGAACGTGAGTCAGGAGCTCGTATAGGAGTAGAAGTTTAGACTCACAGGTTCTTAGAGCAGGATGACACCAAAAGAAGTAATGCTTATTTATGTTCAATAAAACAGGACACTGTCCAGAGGTTGACAATTGACCTACACTGTTTGAATTTGGCATTTTTATCATTTTTTTGGTCTAAATTATTGTCCTTTGCTTCCTCCTTCATACCTTACCTTTCAGCTTCTCTCACCACCTCTTATTCCATTACCACATCTTACTCCTTTTTTGTAAGGATGTTATGAGATCCAGATACCCTATTCTAAGGCATTCCTTTGACTTGCTGATCTAGTCTACTTTCTGTAAGGGAATGAAGAGAGTCTTACAGAACCTGTTTTATTTTTTTGTTGTTGTTGACCTATCTTGACTGTAAGTGATCTCTGTTTCCCTTCCCAAGATCTGACAGACCATTTGTTTTAATCAAGTGGCTGAAATCCAAAACTCAGAGTGGCTTAGGCCAAGTGCAGTAGGGAATGAAAATGTATTAGCTTTAAAATCCAGAGGAATTCGGTCTCCATAATGACTGGATTGAGTGATGTCATAAGGACTCATCTCTCAGCTCCATCCTTTGGTGTTAGCTGCATTCTTGTCAGGCCTGGGTGTATAGTTTTTTATTACTTATTATAACATCATCACGATTAGCTGTTCTTGCCATCTGCTTGAATATGAGCAGCCAGCTATCCTTAGACCACATCTTCAACCATCTGATCCATAGTATTACTATCCTTTCCTGTTAAACAATAATTAACAAAACCCAACCTGCTAATATTGTTAGTAGCTTGCTATGTACTTTGCAGTCTGTTAGGTCTTTACATGTATTATTAAGCTATTACTTATTTATATATTTACATAATTATCCAGGAAAGCCAGCCAATTGACTGTGGGTCTGGACTCTAAACCTTCACAATGCTTCCCACAGTGATGCTTTAGGGCTAAGAAAAGGAAAGTATAGCCATCACATAGGACTGTTTCTTGCTTTTTTCTAAACATAAATCTTAAACTATACTTGGCAAAGTAAGGCTGTGACCTTACAATTTTGTCAATCCCAGAACCTTCTAGATTTTAGGGTTTTGCAAGCTCTTTGTACAGGATGGATACACACACCCTTTATAAACCAGGCTTGTTAACTGGGGCTCCCGTGTGACCACTCTTGGTTCTATAGGTGTTTCTTCGTTATTCTTCAGCACGGTTTTGCTGCCATGATGCCTGAATTCACCTTTGATAGCCTCACATGGATACTTTTCTCTAGAGCTTCTGGCTAGAGATTACTTCCTTAACTTTTTTCCTTAAATGTTCAAAGTGACATCCTTCTAAAACCTGGAGTGGAAGGCTGATGGATGTTCAAATTTCCCTGCTGTGACATTTTACCTTTTGAAAGTACTTTAAAATGGTGGTTTCAATTTCCCAGGAATCTGCTTATTTCCATTCCTCCATTCACTTCTTTTTTTTTCTTTTTTAATATTTTATTTTATATAATTCTTACATCAATTTTCATTTTTGCACAATGTATGCCTTTTCATTTTGGTTATGTTCCCCATACAATTGTACTCCCCTTATTTTGACCCTAATAATCCTTCCTCTCCCTGCCCTCCCCGCCCTGTAGTGTGTCTCTGGTTTATAGTTGCTTGTTGATTTTGATTTTATTCTTTATTATAGTTAGTCTATTCCTAGTCCCTTATTTTTTTCTGATGAGATGCTTAATTATTATTTTTTGAATATTTTATTTTATATAATTATTGTGTAATTTTTTATTTTTTACACAATGTGTGCTTTTCATTGTGGTTATATTCCACATACAATTGTACCCCCGCTTATTTTGACTCTAATCCTTCCTCTTGCTTATTTCGCTGAGCATGATCCCTTCCAGCTCCATCCATGTTGCTGCAAATTGCATGAGTTTATCTTTGTTGATTGCTGAGTAATATTCCATTGTGTGTGTGTGTGTGTGTGTGTGTATGTGTGTGTATATGTGTATATATATATATCATATCTTCTTGATCCAGTCATCTATTTTTGGGCATTTGGGTTGTTTCCAAAGCTTAGCTATTGTAAACAGTGCTGCTATAAACATAGGGGTGCAGGTGCCCTTTTGGAATTAATGTTTCTGCATCATTTGGGTAAATACCTAGGAGTGGAATTGCTGGATCATATGGAAGCTCTATCTTTAGTAGGTTGAGGAATCTCCACACAGCTCTCCACAGTGGTTGGACCAGTTTGCACTCCCACCAACAGTGCAGGAGAGTTCCTTTCTCTCCACATCCTCACCAACATTTGTTGTTGCTAGTTTTTTTAATATGTGCCATTCTCACTGGTGTAAGATGGTATCTCACTGTAGTTTTGATTTGCATTTCCCTGATGACAAGTGATGTTGAACATTTTTTCATATGCTTGTTGGCTGTTTGCATTTCCTCTTCAGAGAAGTTTCTTTTTAGCTCTTCTGCCCATTTTTTGACTGGATTATTTTCTTTGTTGTTGTTGAGTCTCATCAGCTCTTTGTAGATTTTTGTGATCAGTACTTTATCATTAGTGTTGGGTGCAAAAATGTTCTCCCAGTCGATGGGGTTTCTCTTTGTTTAGGTTATTGTCTCTTTTGCTGTGCAGAAGCTCTTTAATTTGATGTAGTCCCAGCTGTTGATCTTTGCCTTCACTATCACTGCTTTGGGTGATGCATCTGTAAAGATGTCTTTGAGGTGCATGTTATGTAGTGTTTCGCCTATGTTTCCTTCTATATATTTTATGGTTTCAGGTCTTATGTCTTAGGTTCTGAGAATCATCTCCTTTGTTATTTCTTCTACCTGAAATGGGTAACATAATCAGGTTGTCCATAACACTACTTTAGTCTTTCTTGCTTTTACTTAGATGAAACCTGGAACAAATAAGCAGTTTTTTTTATTTTTAACATCCTCTCATTATAGTAGAACCCTTTTTTTTTCACCCCTCGTGATCTTTATGTCCTCAGAATCCATGCCATTCATGCTCCAAAAATTTGTTTAATGAATGTGTGAATGCCCAAATCCCTCTGTAGCAGCGTGGCTAGAGAAGAGAGAGGAAAAGAGAATTAACTTGGTTTTATCCTGAGTGTCAGAGGCAGTTGCTGCAGAACGTTCCATGGACATTTTTTTTTAAAGATTTATTTATTTATACAAGAACCGGGGTACAGGCCAGAGGCACAGGAGGGTGAGAGGATTCACCAGGGACAGAATGGGGAACAGAACAGGCAGACTGATGAAATACACTGCTGAGAGGAGCAGCAGGCGAGACAGGAGAGGTCTGCTGCGCCATTTGGGACCCTCACCGGCCAGCTGGGATCGAACTGGTGCTGCAGACAGTGCTGTCCACGCTGGACAGCTTCACAGTGCTGCACTCAACCACCTGCGCCACCAGGGAGGCCCTGGACATTTTGTTTTTGAGCCTCAACTGTGTGCTGGGTTGAGTTTTGTTCTTGATTGCCTGTTACAGAACATCAAAGAGGTGTCAGGACTGAACATGTTCTGGAGTGTGTTCTCTGGTATAAACCTTCTTATCTGGCCTGACCAGGGACTGAAATAACGCACCCAACCTACTCTCCCAGGGATTTTTTTTTTAAGATTTATTTTATTTATGCATTCAAGAGTTGGGGTATAGGCCAGAGGTGTGTGTGGGCGGGGGTGTGGGATGTATGTGTGTGAGAGGATTCACCAGAGACAGAGTAAGAGAACAGGCAGATTGGCTGAAATACACTGCTGAGGGAAGCAGCAGGCAAGACAGGAGAGGTCTGCTGAGCCATGTGGGTTATCTCCCTGGCCAGGGATTGAACACGTGCTGCAGTGGCTGCCGATAGCTTCATAGAGCTGAGACTTAACCCCTTGTGCCACCAGGAATGCCCTCCCAGATTTTTAAGATGCATTTTACCTGAGATAGTGGATAACTTAAGCTATATGATATATTGCTTCTTTTCATTTATTGTTACGTTTTAATAATAAAAGATCAATCCTAAGTCAGATAGTATAGATTCTATGTACCCTCCATCCAGGTTTCTCCAGTGGTTGCATTTTATCTAAATAAAACACATTATCAATACCAGGAAGTGGGCATTGGTAAAATACATGAGTATGATGGTCTATGCCATTTAATCATAGGTGTGGGTACAGAACAACTCTATTGCCATCAAGTTCTCCTTGGTGCTGTTCCTTTATAGTCGCTCCTGTCTGTCTTTCACCCTCTTCCCTAAGTAGGTGGCCAATGATCTGTTACCAGTCTCTATAATTTTGTGTGCCATAGAAATGAATCGCACAGTATGTAACCTTTGGAAATATTTTTTTTTTAAAGATTTATTTATTTATTTATTTATTTATTTATTTATTTATTTATTTATTTATTTATTTATTTATACAAGCACTGGGTACAGTCAGAAGCGCAGGAGGGTGAGAGAATTTACCAGAGCCAGAGTGGGGAGCAGAACAGGCAGACTGGCGAAGTACACTGCTGAGGGGAGCAGCCGGCGGCAGGAGACTTCTGCATGCCATGTGGGACCCTCCCCCTGTGGCCGGGGATCGAACTGGTGCTGCAGAGGCTGCGGGCAGCTTCACAGCCCAGCGCTCAACTGCTGCGCCACCTGGGAGGCCCTGGAAGTTTTTTTTTCCCCCATTCAATTCATTTAATTTCAACAATCTGTCAAAAAGAGCCAACAAACACATATTGAATTACATTTTCCTGTTTTTTTTTTAAACCCTCAAATTCCAGACTATAAAAACATCTTGTGAGTCTCCCACCCTGACCGACCACCCTGCTACTTTCACATATACCTCAGGCCACCCATAGATACAAAGCCAGGGAGTGAGGCTGAAATGGTCTACTTGGAGCCAGTAGACAGGAGGGCAATGAGGCCTGATGAAGCACTTATGGACAAAATGTAATTCACTGTGGGGCTGAAGTTCTTCAGGATAAAAAAGGAAACCACAATGACAAGAACAAGGAAAAGAGTGTTGTTATAGAAAATGGAAAATGTTGTTGCTTCATAATCAGCAACTTCGTTCTTCTTCCACAAGATCCTTTCATCTTTTTCTTTCCGAGACATCTTTCTATTATCAGCTTCAGAAAGTTTTCTCATCACTTCTTTGGAAACAGTATCCTCCCTCTTCTGTGCTACTTTGTGCTTGAGAACAAATTTCACATTTTTGTAGGCAAATGCTACCAAGTAAGTGCTTACAAGGGTCATCACACTGTACAGAACAGCAGACTGAATAAGATCCATATGCCATATTCACCAATATAACCAGATCGGGATGGCCGACACGGTGAAGGCGTTCCCGAAGAAGAGGGCGGTGGATTTGGCCGAAAGGTTGCGGCTGAAATCCTGTAAAAGCAGGTCCTCTTCGGACTGCTGCTTGGAGCCACCTTTGGGCACCATGGCAGAGCCGCTAGCAGAGGCGGACGCTCAACCCCTGGAAGTATGTTTTAAGGCAGCACAATAACCTTAAGAATCATCTTGGTTGTTGTAGGTTATCAGTACCCACTTCTCTTTATTTCTGAGTAGTCAGTGGTGTTGGATATACCACCGTTGTTTTTTAAATCGTTCGTCTATTAAAACAACATTGTGTTGCTAAACCAAAAGAAATCTGGTAAAAGCAAAACAACTGGCTGCTTTTACTTTTTGGCTCTTACAAAGAGAGCTTCTGTGAACATTTGTACATAGATTTTTGTGTGAGCCTAATTTTTTTTTTCCCCTCTGGTATAGATGCACTGGGTTGTGATTGCTATTAAGGTTGTGACAACTGCTAAGGGTATGTTTAGTTTTTTTGTTTGTTTTTGCTTTAAAGATTTATTTTTATTTATTTATGCATAAATAACTGGGGTGTAGGCCAGACTTAATGTGGGGGTGGGGGTGTGTGAGAGTATTTACCAGAGTCAGAGTGAGGAGCAGAACAGGGAGATTGAAATATACTGCTGAGGGGAGCAGCGGGCAAGACAGGAGAGGTCTGCTGCACCATGTGGGTCATCTACCTGGCTGGGGATCGAACTCAGACCACAATGGCTGGCGATAGCTTGATGGCGCTGAGACTTTAACCCCTATGCCACCAGGGAGGCCCTAAGGGTATGTTTAGTTTTTAAAGAAACCAACAATTTTCCATAGTGGCTAGACCACCAACAATGAGAGATCTACTTCTCCTGCATCCTTGTCAGCATTTGGTATTATCTACTATTTTTTTAGGTAACAGTGTTGGTGTGATAGGATTCATATCAGATAATTCCCCCTTTTAAAGTGTAGAAGTCAATGGTTTTGAATGCGTTCACTGAGTTGTGTAACCACTACCACAATGCATTTAGAATATCTTCATTATCCCTGCACCCCATAGCCACCACACCCAAATCCCTGTCCATTTTAACAGTGAAAATCACTTATCTACGTTATGTTTCTATAGATATGCCTATTCTGGACATTTCACATAAGTGGAATCATACACAGTGTCCTTTGTGTCTAGCCTCATTCACTTAGTGCTGATGTTATCAAGATTCATTAATGTTGTAGCATGTTAGCAAGACTTAATTCCTTTTCATTGCCGAATGACATAGAATATTTTTAAAGAACTAAAAGTATGTTTCTTTCCATTACATGGGCTATAAACTAAGAGATAACTATAGAGAGGTTTTGCCAGCTCTGCTGGGAGATCTAGATTGCAATTAACCTAAGTGCAAATTAAAGCTATTTTAAATATTCAGCAATTTTCTATAAAGTATTACTTAATGCTTTTTTTTTTTTTAGCAACAGTTCTGAGTTGTAGAACATGAGTGACTCTCCTGAAAACCTGCTAAGACTTTTCTAGAACTGCTGTATACACACAGGGTGGTGAATGTCAGCTGACCACACACAGGCAGCTTTTAGGAGCTAGAAGAGACAATGCCTTCATGTGCATCAGACAATGCCTTCCAGGATCTTTCTGGACCCTTCACTTTTTTTTTTTTTTAATTTTATAGAGGCATGTTTATTTATATTTTTTTATTTATTTGTTTGTTTGTTTTGTTTATACATGCACTGGGTACAGTCAGAAGCGCGGGAGGGCGAGAGAATCCACCAGAGCCAGAGCGGGAGCAGAGCAGGCAGAGGGACCGAGGTACACTGCTGAGGGGAGCAGCGGGCGGCAGGAGAGGCCTGCGCGCCATGTGGGACCCTCCTCCGGTGGCTGGGGAGCAGCCGGGGATCGAACCGGCGCTGCAGAGGCTGTGGGCAGGTTCGCAACCCAGTGCTCAACCGCTGCGCCACTGGGGAGGCCCCCCTTCACTTTTTGACCAACCTTGCTTTTACCACTCAACTTACATATTATCATTAGTCAGGTCAAAGCAGGTCAGTGTTTAAATACCAGAACAGAAATTTCTGTTGCTACTAACATATCCAGAAAGATCATTTATGTATGGAATCTGTGTTAATCACCAGTGTTCTGAGGCACAGAGGAGGACACAGATGAATGGGTGTTCATCGTGTCTCTAAGAGCATAGTGTCTCACTGGAAAAATGAGGCAGAGCTATAAATAACCCCAGTACAAGGTTAAATGGGATGTGTGCCACTTTAAATATCAAGAAATATTTTAACCACTCAGAAAAGAACTAAGAATAACAAATACCCATGTTTCTACCACCTAGCATTGTTTAATTTTAACATTTTTACCATATTTGCTTTAGCTGTTTATTTTACTTTCTTCTTATGTTTCCCTTTTTAAAAAATTTGCTTCAGTTTTTTAAGATTTATTTTATTTATTTATGCACACAAGAGCTGGGGTGCAGGCCAGAGGAGTGGGGTGGGGGTGAGAGGATTCACCAGAGGCAGAGTGGGGAGCAGAACAGGTAGATTGACTGAAATACACCATTGAGGGGAGCAACGGAAGAGACAGGAGAGGTCTGCTGCACCATGTGGGTAGCTCCCTGGCCAGGATCAAACTCAGGCTATAGTGGTGATAGCTCTGAGAATTAACCCCTACGCCACCAGGGAGGCCCCCACCATCCTGTATCTTGACAGAATCAATGTTCTGGCTGTGATATTATTGTACTAGATATCACCACTGAGGAAACTGAATAAAGGTACTATTTCTTGCAACTACATGTGAATCTATAATTACTTAAAAACTAAAAGTTCAACTAAAAAAGCCCTCAGATACCATGAAGTCCTCTTTGATCCAGATCCATTCCTCTGCCTCCCTTTCCAGAAGTTACCACTAGCCTGAATTTATTGTCATCATTTCCATGAAAATTTTAATACCTCTGCTACATATGTATGTGTCCCCAAACAATCTCTAGTATTGTTTTACATATATTAAACTTAAAAATAGTATCATGCTCTGTGTACCCTTCTGGGATTTGCTTTATATTTTTCTTTACAGTGTTTATGAGGGTATCCATATTGATATGTGGATATATAGTTTATTCATTTTCACGGTTGGCTCAGAATTCCATTATATGTCTCTACCATGAGTTACTCATTTACTCTCGTTGGGACATCTAGGGCATTTCTAATTTTCTGTTAACCTGGCTGCAGTGACTATACTTCCACATTCCTTCGGTATATGTGGAAAGTTTCAGGATAGATCTGGAAGTAAAAATTTCTGGCTTGGCAGTGTATGTTTTCTAGATCTTGCCAAATTGCTCCTTAGAGTGGCAACAGCAATTTACATTATCACAACAGTATACCAGTATGTGAGACTTCTCATTCTTCTATAGTCTCATCAATATTTTTATATTTTGCCAACCTGATGGGCATGAAATCAAATGTGGTTTTGATTATTTACGTTTGCTTAGTTATTAGTGAATTGAACAATTTTTATGTGTGTATTAGCCATTTAAGTTTCTTTTTGTCTGTGAATTACCTGTTCATAGCAGTATCAGCCAGGGTTTTATTGGAGATAACACAAGATAGATTGACAATCAATGTTTATTGACTCAGATACAATATAAATATCAACTATGTAACAGATAATATCTGCTACAGAAAACTTCTGGGATATATGATATAAAAGCTAAACAAAATAAACTATGAACAGAGAAGTCCTACTGTAACTTAAACCAAGAGAAAGATAAAGGTGGGTAATTTGGAAAATAGCATAATTTTCATAGAGAAAAACAAAAAAGCATGATTTAACAACTGATTTACTCTAAACTTCACCATTCCTTTAAAAAAAATTGTTACTTTATATTTCGAGGAAACTATTTGGAGGCGATAGACAAAGAATAAGAGTTGAAAAATGTCTGACATCTTTTACATAGACCTAACCTAATTTTTTTCAAACATCTGATTGCTGAAAACTTGTCTGCATTTTTTAAAAAAAGATTTATTTATGCATACAAGAGCTTGGGTACAGGCCAGAGGTGCAGAGGGTGAGAGGATTCACCAGAGACAGAGTGGGGAGCAGAACAGGCAGACTGACTGAAAACACTGCTGAGGGGAGCAATGGGCAAGACAGGAGAGGTCTGCTGCGCCATGTGGGTAGCTCCCTGGCCAGGGATCGAACTCGTGCTGCAGAGGCCTCAGATAGCTGCATAGTGCTGAGACTTAACCCCTTGCACCACCTGGGAGGCCCAGTCTATATTTTTTAATGAAATACTTAGTTCTTAAATCATTCAGCTTTAATTAGTAAAGGATTTAAAAGCAGGTACCAGGTATTTATCAGGTTGGTGAGGGGCCAGACAATAGGCCACAGACTGGGACTCTATGAGGGGGTCCCAGAGCTAAATTGCAGGAAAGAGCCTCTAGTGGAGCTGTTGTCTTCCTTGACAGCCAGGACCCTGGAGGACTGGAAGCTGCCTTCCCCCTGCTCCCTTCAGGATTCCAAAGTTTTAGCCTCACTCTATTGAGGAGTAACACAGTAGGTACTATTACACGGGCACCTTAAACACCACCTCTCTTCCTAGTTAGCTCAGTTCTAAATTCAGGGTTTACATGAGGCCATCTGATTGGTGAGGCTGAAACCATATTTTTGAATTTTAGCTCAAGGGAATGTAGAAAATGGTTTTTAGCTCTCTAATTTCAGTATTATAGCAACACTTCTAAGGATGAGGTTAAAACTGACATTGAGTCAATTAAAATGCTGTATTTGCAACAATAACTTCTGTCTATATTTCTTTTAGATTGCTTTGTTTTAATGATTCATGGAAATTCTTTATATAGTCTAGGTATTAAACTCTTACAGGTTATATTCATTACAAATATTTTCTGGTTTGAGACCTCTCTTGTCCTTTTGCATATAGAATTGTCTGATAAATAGAAACATTCAATATTATTATACTGAGGTTTTTTAATCTTTTAGGATTTATATATTTTGTGTCTTATTGAAGAACTCTTTTCCATTAAGAGAATAAAAGTATTTCCTTTTTATATTAAATTATTTCTTTGTTTTCTTTTAAGAATTTTATTTTTTATTTTTATTTTT